GCCCCGCAGCACGTCAGTAACCGCAGGTAACATCGCGGGACTCAGCTAGTTAATAATACGTCTTGATGTCGATGAAGGTGACATTCAAAAATACCCTTACACCCAATCAAACATACATATCAAGCTAATGAAACTAGTGTTAAGAAGTTTTATTACAATATTGTAGAATAATAAATATTTTACTGCTGATAAAGAAAGTAATGTATCTGCCAAGAAAAAAAGATGAGTTTCTCAGAAAACAAACACATTTGTCTGTTTTCTGAGAAGCCCGTCTTTTTTTTAAACTATGGTAGGGATTAGTGAAGTCTAGTTTGAGGTCATTGAGTGACAATTTGGTCATTAATGACTCAAACTAGACTTCACTAATCCCTACAAGCATACATATGAGACGAGGAGAAGTTTTTTAAACAGTAACTCATCCATTGGAGGAGGCCTCTGCCGACTGGCAAACAGATCTAGGAAAGATAACCAAGCAACAAATATTAGTTTACATTTATTCATATCTATTAAGTTTAAGATTTTAATGCTAGTATTTTTAAGTTTAAAAATTCATTGTACTAAAAGATCTGAATAAAAGGCTATATTATTATTATTATTATATAACTCATCCATTTCCTACCATAGTTTAAATAAAAGTACGTTGGTAATAAGTTATAAATCTATGGATCGTTCTATAAAAAAAGCTTAGGTTCCCTTCAAAACCAAATATGCACTTGAAAAAAATTTTTAGAACCACCAAACAAAACCATCGGTTCAGGATCCTGAGCCCAAACAAATTTATTCACTTCTAAATCAATAAAGCTGAATTCTATTTTGGAACAATAATTTTCTAGAAAATTCCATTGTTGCTTCCATTCCGTTGCTTCAAATAAAATCGAACTGGTATAAATTCAAAAGATTTATTGTAGTATTTCTGGTTTAGCGTGTAATGTACATCGTGCATAGCGTACGCATCGGTAGCTGCAAACTGATTTAACTTTTCCTGCAATAGTTTCTGTGGCCGACTCTGGACGCTTGGTGGGTTATTTTTAGTGAACGATATAGGACAGATTCCTGTTTGTTACAATCATTGTTTTGTATTAACCTACATATTTTGTCCAAAATATATTGTACTTACTGCAATATATTTCAATATGTTAAGCGTATGTTATTCTTTTTAATACGCTTTTATTAGCTTCAGACGCATGTATGTAACGGAATCTTTGAACATGATTTTGACCCCCTTCGAAACGTTGGATTAACTCGAAATTTGGCATACTTATTAAGAACCGATGACAATTCAATATTAAAAAAAATTAGAAAAAATTGAAAATCAACTAAAAAATGAAAAATAAATAATATTTTAAAAAAACTAAAAAAATAAGCTTTTATAGAAAATACAGTTGAAGAATAGAAATAAATTTTTTTAATAAATTTGAATTAAAAATAGTGTAAGAAGTATTTTTTTAGTTTTTTTAAACTATTATTTATTTAAATTGTTCTTTCTATTCTCTATCTTGTCTTCAAGAAAAATTTTAAAGGACTTTTATAAAGTACTTACTCTATAAACACAATTTATTTTCTGTTCAAGATTAAGAGACCTTGTATTCAAGCATATTACTTATAATAGTGCACGACAATAGAGTTCCCTGATGGCGTTCGTTATTTGAGAATCTACCAAACCACGCTGCTACCTACCACTCGAATTTATGGATAGTGTTTTGACACTGAGAACTTTGCTCCATAATTCATCGACTGAATCAAAATTTAAAAATAAATAAAAGTTTTAAAAAACTAACAAAATACGCTTTTATAGAAAATCCAACTAACATTTTTTTTAAATAAATTTGAATTAAAAATACTTTAAGACAAAATGATTTTATTGTATAAAAAACTATTATTTATTTTTATTTTTTAGTTGAATTTCAATGTTTTCAATATATTTTTTCAAAATTTTTTTTTATATTGAATTGTCATCGGTCCTTATCAAGTACCTATACCAAATTTCGAGTTAATCCGACGTTTTGAAGGGGATCAAAATCATGTTCAAAGATTCTGTTACCAACATTCATACGTCTGAAGCTAATAAAAGCGTATTATAAAAATACTATCGTTTTTATATCGTAACGTCTAGATATATAGTGTTGCATCTCCTTCGGAATAAGCAGACAAGCAACAAAGATTGGTACCGCAACTCCTTGCGACTTCCACAACTTAATCCTTCTAAATGACGTTGATAGATGTTCGAATCTGTTCAACGTTGTAATGAACTTTGCTCGTGCTTTCATTTGTCATCGGGTTGAGTAATTAAAACGATATCTCTATATATTAATACGTGAAGCAAAAACTTTGTATACCTTTTTGCGAAAATTGCGCGGACGGAGGAGTATGAAATTTTCCACACTTATAGAGAATATAGAGACGAAGTGCACAATGCTAATATTTTTTTTTTAAATAATGCATAAAAGATACATTAAATCAATAAAGAAGACATTACACACACTACATACCATGTATTTGACGCACACACGCATGCATACTATTTATTTATTGTCAAACTTTTGTTCCTGACGTCTGTGGTCAAATTGAGAATAGATTAAATATTGTTTGTCTTTATTAATATTTTTTATAGTGTAGTCTTGGCGAAATTTGTGATTATAGAAGTATAATAGTCTTTGAAAATATAATCATAATAGTGTACAAACTTATAATTTCAATTAATTATAGTCGAATTTCGACTACCGGGTGACCACTAGTATTAATTATAAAGCAAATGCCTTATTAAGTGTTCACCTAGAATGAACAAGCTTTTGGACATCGAAACGGGGTGACAAAGTTTTTTTTTTTATTGCTTAGTAGTGTGGACGATCTCACAGCCCACCTGATGCTAAGTTGTTACTGGAGCCCATACACATCTACAACGTAAATGCGCCACCCACCTTGAGATATAAGTTCTAAGGTCTCAGTATAGTTACAGAGTATTTAAGTATACAAGTAATCAGAATACTTTAGTGGTTTAGATAGATAGTAAATACTTGCAACCCACATAGAGCCGAACGTACTCCAAGAACCTCAAACTGAAGTCTCAATGGGAATGATTCACTTCGATGTCCGAGATCAGATTTTAATTGTGTTTATTAATGAGAGGCTAGGGGTACGCGATCTTGGCCTCTTAGTGAGAGCGCTACTACTTCTAAATCATCCGTCATCACGATTTTGAATTTGACATAGAAGAGAAAATAATAATAGCTCTATTTTCCAAGTTTCTTTTGTGACGTTCCTTTCAAAATCAGGAAATATTTTTATTTGTTATTATATTTTTTTACCCGACTCCTTAATTTCAATACCTCTAGTTTCAGAATATTTGTGGATCGAAAAGTTGCGGTCATCCATCACCGAGTTACTCTTCCGAAAGACGTATGTAGAGTAACTTGCACGTTGTTCTCTTGAATTTCACTCGCCCATCTCTATAGGATTAGTGCGGATAGAGTGTTCTCTCTCGTGCTCTACCATTTCAGATACGAGAAGGTGCAGTCTCAAAGGTCGAGAATCGTCCCCCACAGCTTGTTACTACCGAGTAGCGGAGTCACGACCCTCGGCAGCGACAAATGAATTATTTGTCCAACGATGACACGATATCGTCTCGTAGGGCAGACGACATTTACAAATCGATGCCTCCAATGAACACTACGCTAACTCCAAATTCGTAGATTTACAGGAGGAGCGTTTAAACGAAAAAAGTTGATAAAATCTTTATTATTGCAGATATATTTATGATTTTTTTTGTGTAGCTAGCTGATTTACTCTTGCTTCGAACCCCATCAATGATGATTAATTGTAATACTTTTAACATAGTGAAGCGATTTGCGTGAAAAACGAAAATTTAAAAAATTTGAGTTAAAGTAGTGCTGCTCATTGAAGGCATCGAAATATTAAAGCAAGCTAAACCATTCACGTTTTAAACTTATGATCACGAGCCTGCAATCAAAAGTATCGAAAGGTCATAAGCGCGGTTTCCGATAAAAGCAAAACCTTTTACTCTGTCCGCACATTAATGATTCCATTTGTATTATCTTTTTTTAAGTTACAACAAAAGAATCCCGACGGAATTTGTTAGGTACGTCCCGTTTGGTCGGCGTCCAATCAAATTATTTGCCTTCCAATTTCTCCAACTCGAAATCAAAAGTCTTTTATTGACATTCAGTTTTACGACTTCTACGTTTTAATGGGAAATGGCTTGGAAGTTGGGGCTTTCTTAAATGAGATGGTTTTTTAGATTTATTTCCTGATTTATATTTGCCGGTAGACACTAGTATGCACAAATATGGTAAATCGTTTAAGCCTTCCTAAAACTTATGTAAAGCCCTTTTTGTGACACATTTTGTGATACCCATGGAAGAAGAATATATTTTGTTTTTTTGCTTAGGTGAGTGGACGAGCTCACAGCCCACCTGGTGTTAAGTGGTTACTGGAGCCCATAGACATCTACAACGTAAAATAAGTTCTAAGGTCTCAGTATAACGGCTGCCCCAAACATTCAAACCGAAAGGCATTACTGCTTCACGGCAGAAATAGGCGGGGTGTGAGTACCTACCCGCGCGAACTTACAAAAGGCCGTCTACCACCAGTAATTACGCAAATTATAATTTTGCGGGTTTAATTTTTATTACAGGATGTGATTGCTTGACCGTGGAAGTCAATCGTGAACATTTGTTAAGTACGTATTTCATTAGAAAAATTGGTACCCGCCTGCGAGATTCGAAATCCGGTGCGTCGCTCAACACGAATACACCGGACGTCTTATCCCTTTTAGGCCACGACGACATATTGTGATGTTTCACGTTTACCGGATGTCCGATGAGGGCCATTTTATTCTTGTTCACGACTTTTTAGTCGTATCGTATCACGATTACCAGTTTCGAAATTCAGTTTTGCTAAATGTTTCAATTCAAAAGATTTGGGAGATTTCTTAAATATTAATAAAATTGCATGAACAAAAAATAAAAAAATAAAAAAACACATTTTTTCCATACATTTATTTTATTAAGTGTACATACATGAGGTAAATTTTTAAATTGACGCAAATCAATCAGTGTCAATGCTCTAACTTACTAACACATATATATTTTTTTAATTATTATTTCGACTGTCTTCAAGCCTAGTTCGGACTACGCGAGTAATTTAGTTACCAAAACATGTCTGAACAGAAAAAAAATGATTCGTTAAGTGAAGAGTCAGTCCTATTTTTGTGGGAAGCAGTTCCCTCACAATGCATCGCGCTTACTGGCTAATTCTTATGCTGTTTTTATCCCTGAACAGCCGCCATAAATTCGCCTTATTCTTTTGTAGAATGGTCGTTTTAGATACGTTGCCACTTTTTTGGGCAGTAGCGAGTAGGTATTTAAATTTCCAAATAACTCTGCACTCGACTACTATCGTAGTCAAACCTAGGCTTAGCAGATCTTTTTTTTTTCACAGACAAAGGTGATTAATTAAATTAATTAAAGTAATATACTTACTCCGTCGTACTTATACTTTATTCAGTATTTTAATAATAGTAATAGAAAAACACTTTTTTTTGTTAGGTACAGTGCCATTAAAAATAGTAAATTAAGTCAGAATGAGTTTGTTGTCGTCCATTGTGCGAGGATCGATGAATGACACGTCCCTGATCTGGTTTTCAGGCTTGAATTTACTACGACTCATTCTCCAGCTGTCTGGCGTAGGTATTGTACACCGTGATGAAGTAAGATGCTACAGCTGTAGTCAAAAAAAGGTCATATTAAAATCTACGTCACAACATTTGGTGTATCTGTGCCTTATTCGTTGCTGGGGTATCCGTTTACGGATACTCGGTCGAGAGGGATAACAGACTGAGCTATATGGGACTCCGGCTCCTCCAGAAAAGCAGAGGGAGAAGAGAAAAACCGAATTCCTCCTCTTCTTCCAATTCCGGACGGGAGACTACGCCTTGAGAAAGACGCGCGAGGTGCTACTGTGATTATAATGCTTTTTTAAATGACAGTTTTACGTCAGGACAGTAACATAGGCTATCTTTTATCCCGAACAAAGATGTAGTTCCCACGGGAAACTGTTTTATTATATCGACGCTTGAAAGGCAAAAGTGACTAAGCGACAATGCGTGAACTTTACAGTAGACTAATTTAAAGTTGAAATACCTGAAAACAAAATTTACTTTAACGAATCCAGCTGTAGTAGAATCTAGCTTTGGCATAACGCTAAATTTCACCCCCCACTTCATTCACTTAGAAAGAGAAAATATTTTTGAATTATAGAATGTTAAGGAGCTATTTAAACCCGTATTTTGAAACATTCTTTATTGATGCTCACTTGTATTGGTCTTATCGTGATGCTATACTTATATAGCCTATATATAGCCTTCCTCAATAAATGGGCTAGCTAACACTGAAATAATTGTATCATAGAAAAATCGACAAAAAACATGGAGTTTGTTTTTTTCCTAATATAACACTAGTCGGCAATGCGCTTTGAGAGATCTATTTGGCCACATGCGACCCGGATCGCATAGTCCAAAATAAGAACAAGTAGCTCATATTGAGCTACTGCTGTAGGATTGAAATGATTTTAATAGACCTAGAAATATATTTTTTTTGCGCATCGAATATGGTTATTGCCTATCATTTATATACAAAGCAGTTATTGTCGCTTAGTCATGTTTGCCTTTCAATCGTCGATATGTATATAGAAAATTAACTGACACTTGTCCTTGACCACGCGGGCGAAGTCATGGGCTCAGCAAGCTTATTTCAACCCTTTGCACTCGACGACCTTTTCACTTGTGCGAACAAGTAACTCGAGACGGTTTCGATCAAATTAGGTAAACATTTTACAGTTACTTTAAAAAACATACATATAAACAAACAATCGTATACAAAAAGTAAAACTTCACGAGCCTGTTCATTTATATGTCGAAAACAACGAACTATGATAAATAATGTTCATCTTATTACACTCTATTAATTGGCGTCGTTTGAGTGCAAAGGTTTAATACAATTTCCTGCCCTGCAGAAATCAGATCGGCTCTAAATAGACACGTCTGAAATGCATTGTCAGATTCCTTCATCATGGAAGTAGTCCATGAAAACAGGTACGTTTTTCATTTCAATTAGTACCTGCCTACGCGAATTAAGCATATTAACGTTTTTTTAAGTATAAATTGGTGAACTAGCTTACAATTCACATGGTTTTAAGTGGTTACCGGAGCCCATAGACAGCAACAACTTAAATGCCGCGAGCCACCTTGAGGCATGAATTCTAAGTCTCAGTTTTACAGTACAACGGCTGCCCCACTACTTAAACCGAAACGCATTACTGCTTCACATCAGAAATAGGCAGGGTAGTGGTACCTACCAGCCCAAAGGCCCACGAGACGCCCTACCACCAGTAATTACGCAAATTACATTTATTGCGGGCTCAATTTATATTACACGATGTTATTTCTTCCTTCCTTCCTTCCTGGAAGTCATTCATGAACATTTGTGTATATATAAGTCTGGTACGTCTTGACCTCTGTTACTCAGTACTTAAAATACCTCAGTACACAAATTGATTCACTCATTTGTAATGTTTACCGACGAATTTACAATATGTTATTCTAATGTTCCTTATCATGTTAAAAAAAATGGCTTCGACAATTTCCAGAGACGAACTGAGCTGTTAATGATATCTGACCTTTTGTAATGCGCAAGATAATACAGTCCATTATTGAAACCTTGACTGTCCATTATTGTTGTTAATAAGCATTTGTGTTGATTTTATTAATTGGTTAAATCAAGAATTAAAGGTCATTAAACTATGTAATTTAATAATTTGCCAACCAATACAATAAATATTTAGCGTTTGTTCTTGTTTATTTGTGCTCTTGATATTGGTACATATTTCAGGAAATTTTCTGCCCAACACAAAGCAGGCAATCTTTCCTGCTTTTAGAGTAGGATAGCTTTAGCATAACATTGCATTTTTTTATTGCTTAGATGTGTGGACGAGCTCACAGCCCACCTGGTGTTAAGTGGTTACTGGAGCTCATAGACATCTACGACGTAAATGCGCCACCCACCTTGACATATAAGTTCTAAGGTCTCAAGTATAGTTACAACGGCTGCCCCACCCTTCAAACCGAAACGCATTACTGCTTCACGGCAGAAATAGGCAGGGCAGTGGTACCTACCCGTGCGGACTCACAAAAGGTCCTACCACCAGTAATTATGCAAATTATAATTTTGCGGGTTTCATTTTTATTAGACGATGTTATTCCTTCACCGTGGAAGTCAATCGTAAACATTTGTTGAGTACGTATTTCATTAGAAAAATTGGTACCCGCCTGAGATTCGAACACCGGTGCATCGCTCAACACGTAGGCACCGGACATCTTATCGTTCAGGCCACGACGACTTCTGATATCACGTATAATGCCAAAAATGTACTATTCTATTCTTTTCTATTCCATCAGCCCACAGACGTCCACTATGAACATAGGCCTCCCCCAAGCCACGCCACAAAGATCAGTCCAGCGCTGCTTGCATCCAGCAGATCCCCGCGAGCCTCAGTAGGTCGTCGATCCCACTTGTGGGAGGCCTACCCACGCTACGTCTTCCGGTACGCGGTTGCCACTCAAGGTCTTTTCCGCCCCGAAAATTCAGTATAGCACGATTCAAAACATATTTTCAACTCACCAATGTCCAAGCCATGTAACATTAAGGCCGGAGTCGTGATGGTCATTGTCAGGTACACTAAACCAGCAAAGACCAGGACGAGGCGGCAGGATGCGAAGAGGACGTAGAACTTAATGTTACCAGGTCGCCTCTGAAACAGAACATTTTTATTGTCTTTACAATTGTATCAGACAGGTGAGCTCCCGGCCTATACAGTGTCTAAGTTCAAATTTGACACTGAACGGTCGGTTCGTTCTTTTGTCGAATATTTTTATATGTATATGAGAACGGTCGGTCCGTTCCTTGTCGTATTTTTGTCCGTCTTTTAAGAAGTCAAAAAATGTACTGCCTGCCGCTAGTCACGAACGCCCTCGTTGGAAAGAAATGGATCTTTTCGAATTCTTGTCAAGCCTCTGTCTTAGTCTGTGTCTATGTCTGATCGTCGTAGTTCTAATGTCCTGTCAAAGAGGTTGCACGCCACGACAGACACATTGAACGCCACATGAAAAATCGAGTATTTTCATTCAGTCCACGGTGCGCACCGCTGAGCCTTATCGTACTAAACCGTTCGGGCCATGAGGGACACCCGTGAGCCGCGTGAGGGTTCCAACGTAAACGCTTCCTACAAGCCACAGATTGCAGCTATCAAAGACAAAGAAAACGAGTATGGAAGTGAGTCACGTGGTCCTTAGCCGAACAGAACGGTGTGGTTTTCAAATCCAATGAAAACTTGTAGTTTTATCAAGGTTATTAAAGTATCATAAAAACTAGACGGTAAAAGTCGCTAATTTTTATCTTCCGTCCAAATTATCGCATTTTATAAATTCACTAGCTTTTGCCCTCGACTCCGTCCGCGTAGAATAATTACTTTGGCGTAACGCTAAATTTTACCCCCCACTTCATTCACGGAGAAAGTGAAAATATGCGGTAGGCAGCGGATTGGCCCTGCCCCTAGCATTGCTGAAGTCCATGGGCGACGGTGTCCACTCACCATCAGGTGGGCCGTATGATCGTCTGCCTACAAAGGCAATAAAAAAATTTGAATTAATCTTTAATTCAAATTTTTTATTTTTTTTATTTTGTTATTTTTAAAACCCGATTTTGAAATATTATTTATTGGTGCTCCACTTGTATTGGTCTTACCGTGATGCTGTATAGCCTATATATAGACTTCCTCAATAAATGGGCTAGCTAACACTGAAATAATTGTATCATAGAAAAATCGACAAAAAACATAGGGCTTATTTTATGACTAATATAGCACTAGTCGGCAATGCGCTTTCAGAGATCTATTTGGCCACATGCGACCCGGATCTAAAAGTGTTACCTGTAGGCATAGTCCAAAATAAGAACAAGTAGCTCATATTGAGCACTTGTGAGCTGGCTTCCTATGCCCCTAACACTTTAAACGACGTTTGAAAAGTCGTCAGCGTCTGTGTCCCTAGTTTACCAATTACACTTGCGATGAAGTGGAATGCAAAAGCATCTGGCTTCGATTGCGAAAAAAGTTAAGTAAATAAAGCTAAGTAAATAAACACTGAAACCATTAACGAAGCTCCTTGCAACTCGTGGTCTTTGTAAAAACAATCTACAATATCATTTCAGGATCACAAGTGTCACTGACTCCTATTGCCTGAGCGTATGCATACGTTTCATTGATGTCACAGTTGTATACAAGTGGACGTGTAGTCGGGGAGTTTTACGACTTTTTATTTAAAGCATCTTTGAAATATCAAGTCATGCTGCCTGAGTTTTAAGACCGACAGCCTGACTGACGTCAGTCCTCCTTGGGAATGCTATCGTCGGCCTTAGATTGTAAGAATAAACATACTTTGATGAAGTGTGTGATAGAGGATATGCGTGAGAAGAAGAATGTGGAGATGACGTATGACAGGCCAAAATGGAAAAAGAGGCTGCTTGTCATCTCTCTAGTGCCTCGTCTTTTTCTGTATGAGATAAAGGCAAGAAAAAGATCTCTGTAATATCAACTCCCGTATACTTTCTGCTAATAAATATGTTAGAACGGTTTTACTGTTACCTTGATTTTATTTAAATTTTGCATGCTATTTGAGTATTAATACTACGGTCAATATTAACTCATAATAGTAATAGAATAACGAAATAGTGATAGGAATACTGTTTTTTAATGCTACTGGTGGTAGGACTTCTTATGAGTTCCCCTGAATAAGTACCACCACCCCGCCTATTTCTGCCGTAAAGCAGTAATGCGTTTCGGTTTGAAGGGTGGGGCAGCTGTTGTAACTATACTGAGACTTTAGAACTCATATCTCAAGGCGGGTGGCGGAATTTACGTTGTAGATGTCTATGGGCTCCAGTAACCACCTAATTCACCGAAGCAAAAAAAAAGTATGTGTTTGGTAGAATCTTTTCAAAAATACAAACTTAACGTAAAAGAAACATCCCAGCCTCCCAGCCTACAATAGAGTCTAATAAATAAATGTGTAATTTTGAGTAACAGTTGTTGGCTGGCGTCCAGCTCGGGTCCGCATTACGTGCACGCTCACTGCACTCCGTTCGAACATTTTGTTTATTGCTACCATCCACCGCCCGACATTTTAGTGTTGCCAGAAAACTGCTAAAGGTGCATACAGTGTAGTTTATGTAAAACTGTAAATAAAATAGCAGAAATAACAACATAAGTACAAACAATTGAAGAAACCTTCTAACAATACGGGGATACTGCTGATACATACGCGTTAAAAACAAATACAAGTCTTTTGTGTGTATTTTAATTTTGAAACCGGCAACTCCGTTTGCGAGATCGCATCGCTATTTTTATATCTAGATACTTTACAAGCGCGCGAATGATAATCACAAGATAAGTCATTGTTAAACGTCATGTATTTTTTTTGGGACAAAGGCACATTGCTATTTGCTTTGCGTAAAGTTTGAGAGCCACTTTAATCAATGTTGTTCATTGTCGAATGTCTTTTTCTTTATTGCTTAGATGGGTGAACGAGCTCATAACTCACCTGGCGTTAAGTGCTTACTGGAGCCCATAGACATCTACAACGTAAATGCGCCACCCACCTTGAGATATTAGTTCTGTCTCGGTATAGTTACAACGGCTGCCCTACCCTTCAAACCGAAACGCATTACTGCTTCACGGCTGAAATAGACAGGGTGCGGACTCACAAGAGGTCCTACCACCAGTAAAAACTTTTACACTTACTTTGAGAAAACGGAATATTTCTAATGCTTACGATATAGCATTAGTTATATTCCGACCTGGTCAATAATTCATATTTAAATGACCTTAACTATATTAATGATATCCTCATTTTACTTTGTTGAAAGTCTAGTTTCAATTTTGTTATAATAGTATAATTTGACTACGACACCAAAATAATCTACTGACTAAAATAAGACAGTCTTCAATTGACAACATTTCAAAAAATTAACATGCATAAAATAAAAATACCGTTTCTTTATTTTTCAATTCTGAGCTAAAATATGTAATTCTTATAATTTTATATTACTTAATTTGGGAGTAAATCATTAAAAACTAAAAATGTTGTGGTGACGTCAGGTTTACGACTGTATGAAAATATTCTTTTGCCTTTCCGGCATTGCTGATACTCTGTGGCGAAAATGTCAAAACATGTAATTATCATTACAAAACAAAGGCGTCAGGGTTCCCAACTTTGAGTTTCTCCCCCTAAATTTAGGGAGGAAACAAGTACGGTGGGATTTTTGTGGGTGTTATATATTTTTAAGAGGTATTTTTTGACAGCTTACATTTTTTCCTATTTTTTTATTTCTTAATATATTTTTGATTAAAAAAAGTAAAGTTATTAAATTATAGACCCCTAAGTTACACAATTTAGCCAAACATATTTATTTCTTGACCTAGTGGCTAGCGACATCTAGTAAAGCGAATGACTGGTATGATTGATTGTAAACAATCAATTCATTGTCTTGCTTCCATTACAATCAATTGATAAGTAAATTGGATAATTAAATATATATATATATATATTTATATATTCATGGACAGTTCACACAACGTCCTCTGGTCCCAAGCTAAGCGTAATTGTTGTGTTATGGGTGCCAGGTTACGAATATACCTACTACATATTTTTTTGTAAAAATACGTACTATGATACATAGAAAACACCCAGACGCAGTACAAATATCTGTGGTAATCAAACAAATAGTTTTCCTATGCGGGGATCGAACCCGCGACCTCGAAATGGCAGCCGATGTTACTACCGACACGCCACGAGGCCCGTCAGATAAGTAATAATTGACAAAAATGTAACGGAATATTATGTACTCATTATTCTCATTGTTAAAATACAATCTCATAAATAACATTTTTAAATATATCTAAAAAAGAAAATGAAATCAAATGAACAAACAATATAATCATTAACCAATTGAAAAAAAACAAAAAACAAAACATTGAAACAGCGAATATCAACAAGTATACATGATAACATTGGCAATGCTATATTGAATGACGCTAATCGTGAATGTCATGTCAACTGTTAAGTTTTTTTTTTTTTACAAAGCAAAGTCGTCCAAGGCAGCGCAGTGTTCCGTAAACGTGACGTCATTTGGCGCTTACGTCTATTTAGAATAATATCAAATTCATGAAAGAAACTATCGAATTTCCAAAAAATCAATTATATGGGTCTGTTTATTTTCAATCTAGTATCAATTAAGATAATAATATTATGAGTATGTTAAAACAATGAAATGTTGTCAATTCTGAATATCGAAAAATTTGAATATCTAACCCGGAAACGCTTTAGTAAAATGAGTATGGACAGTTTTTAGGTGCCCGAACGAACATTTGAAAGGCTACAGACAAATCAATCAAGGTTTATCTATACTAATATTATAAAGCTGAAGAGTTTGTTTGTTTGAACGCGCTAATCTTAGAAACTACTGGTCCGATTTGAGAGAATTGTTCCCCTTTAAAAGATCTAAAAAAATCTGCGACAGCATATTATGTCTATATAAAATATTGTTGGTTGGCTCATTATAACGTTTTTATGCTAACCAAAGTTGTTCTAAAATAAAGCATTATTTGTGAACTATTCCACGCGGATGCAGCCGCGGGCAAAAGCTAGTGTGTTTATATTTATGACTGACTCGGTGGTGCAGTCTTTAGTGCCCCTAACTGTTGCACCCAAGGTCGTGGGTTCGATTCCCACATCGGGTAAACATTATGTGATGGATAAGTTTGTTTGCTTTTTCTCTGTGTCTCTGTCTGTCTTTACTATCTATATTTAAACATACATATTTAGACGTATATAAGCATGTATTTTTACTGGTGATAGGACCTCTTGTGAGTCCGCACGGGTAGGTACCACCACCTTGCCTATTTCTGCCGTGAGCAGTAATGCGTTTCGGTTTGAAAGGTGGGGCAGCCGTTATAACTATACTTGAGCCCTTATATCTCAAGGTGGGTGGCGCATTTACATCGTAGATGTCTGTGAGCTCCAGTAACTATTTAACACCAGGTGGGCTGTGAGCTCTTCCACCTATCTAAGCAATAAATAAATATAAAAAAGTATACCAGTCTCTAGTACCAATAACATGGGGAATCCTAAATTGGGGTCATATGACCGTCCGTGATTTGTTCCCAGTTTTTTATTGAAGTGAAACTTCTTTAGAATCGTTGTGATTTCAAACTCGATGAAACGAAAAAATAAGTCCATAGAGACACAAACACATAAACGTATAGGACTCAGCCGGCGAGAGAATGAGATAGAACACATTAGACGATCTCGGTCTCCTCTTTGTGCGACTCTACGTAGCATCCCCACTATCGTCTACTAAACATTGTCCATATGTATGCTCCTGTGTAGTGGAATAGTCAGTATATCTATATCTTAATTATAAGTTTCACTTCTACCGTGTGTGACTTGCACACACACACTTTTTTTTATGTCCATCTCAACTGTTCTGTAGCAGTCTATGTTGATATGATTAAATTAAATAATGGAAAGCACATACCCTGTGTAGTCCGACCACACAAGCGATGTTGACAAGCAACCATGCAGCATTTATGACTATCGTCATCAGAAGCACGAATCCGACCCCACTGAGGAGGGGCGATTCCGAGGATTGCTGGGCAGGCTGTAAGGTAGTGGTGGGTTCGCTGAACTCTTTCAAGTCGATGCTATCGAAGCTAGTGGTGCGATCGAAGCTATGGGAACCAGCTCCAATGTAATTGGTCAGAGTAATCAACAACCCGGTATTGTAGACATTGGTGAACTGTTGAAAAGAAACGAATTACGAATGGGTTATCAAATTGTGTCAGACTAGATCAGGCAATATAGACTGTATGCTGTCTATGCCATGGTTGAGCAAACTGTTTAATCAATGGGCCAATTTTATAAACAGCCCACAGTCGTCCACTACTGGACATAGGCCTCTCCCAATCCACACAACTGAGCGAGGGATTCGGCTCTCCTCATCCACTTCTTGCCGACCACCGTTCGGAGGTCATCGCACCACCTAGTCAGGGGGCGTCCCACGTTACATTACGTTACGTATGGGCCGGGCCAATTTAAATTTTAATAATTTTTGGCGGGCCGCACATGGATATTAACTCTTATTAATAATTTACGAAACTTTATTTCTTTATTAAAAAGAACAAATAAAAAAGATCAAAAAAACGAATTAATGGGAAAGAGAGCCGATAAAATAAATCCAATATTAGAAATGCTTGGCGGGCCGCGTGTTGCTCATCCTTGGTCTATGCCAAACATATGTAAGTATATTGCTTTTATGATTCAGAATAATGTGGCAACAAAATTAAAAAAATGTTCTCTGTGGCCCGGTTTTTTGACAGACTATAATTTGGAATATCCCAAAGTTAAAAGCGAATACCGTTTACGTTATTGTAAATTACGCATCGCGACTTGAGACAGGAGTCTCAAAGGACAACCGAATAAAAACAACAGAAAATTTCAAATCGATTAGAAATAATTATAAATAATACTAAACAAAATTTAAACAAACTAAACTAAATCACCATTTCGGCTACAGTCTTTTTTTTTTTATTTATTTATTACAACAGTGTTCAATTCGCAGAAGCTGTAAATATGGCGTGGACCAAGATAAGCCCTCAGGATTGAGATGAAATGAGGCCTACATCTTTTCGCAGAACTCCCATTCCATACCAAATTTCGTTAAAATCGGTTTCGTGGTTCAAACGTAAAAAACATAACAGACAAAATGGCTGTCGTATTTATAAAATTAAATGTGGAGGAACTATGTCTACTAAATAAAACCGAATATTTCTAATTCTTTTAACACAAATCCCGATACATTATATCACGTGTGGATAATCTGTTACATCTGTACAATAAATGGATTGATAAATCTTACTTTTTATTCTTTCTCCATGTACATATTTGTATGTATCTTTCTTTCTTTATGTCAAAGGAAATAAGAGATACAACAGTAGATACATACCATGGTCAGGTAACCAAGGATGAAGCAACCAATCCTCAGTGGAAAGCAGTAACAGCATTTTTTGCCCAAACTAGAAGTCGACGATAACCTAGAAATGATTAAAATATGAAATTAGGGAGGCAGCGACTTGCCTATTCCCGTGGCATTGCTGGATATCTGTGAGAGGTTATCACTCACCACCGGAGAGGCCTTATACTAGTCTGCCTATTGAAACAATAATACTAAGACTAGATAACAGACTAGACTGGATAATACTAAGGCAACATTTTTTTTTTTTTTTTTTATTGCCCCTGTAGGCAGACAAGCATACGGCCCACCTGATGGTGAGTGGTTACCGTCACCCATAGACTTCAGCAATGCCAGGGGCAGAGTCAAGATTGAATTAGAATAACTGTCCCGCCCATCAAATTGGAGTATGGCTGCTTCGTGACAGATGTAAGCAAGATGTTAATGCTTGTGTCGGTTTATTTAATGCCCAAATTTAGCTGCAAAGGTCCACCCAGAAGCTGATCTTGCTAGCGAGCATGGCGAGGAGGAGAAAGAATGTTCTGTTTGACTCTTCATTAATGAACATTCTCTAGCCTGAGGTGGTGAAGAGTATCTGTTCCAGCAAAGTAGTCTAATTTGTGACTGGACCAAAGTGGTAGTCGCAACAGATCTATCTGGGCGAAAGTGACGGGTTTGTACACATTATTGGCAATAATAATGAGACAGATGCTTTGCAGTTTTGCTTTTATGTAACACGGATGCGAGTATTTTTATTTTACGATATGAAGATAAGATAAGATACCCGGTGTGTTCGTATCGAGTGATGGGACTTTGCCGAAGCTCGAATCGTACCTCTCCGTGTATTTTTAAGTAAAGTAACTATCCAATATTCATTCACGAGGACCGTGCATGATCGGATCTGAACCACGGAATAGTCGAGTCGCTCCTTTTCCTCTTTAGGGTTTGTACCGTAAATGCCAACGTCATGTGATAGCCAAAACAGAGCAGGAAATCGAATCTTTAGTTTACCCTTCTTTTTTTTTTATAACAACTAAGAGGCAAACGAGCAAGACGGGTGACCCTATTCTTTTATTTTTATTTTTTTATTGCTAGATGGGTGAACGAGCTCACAGCTCACCTGGTGTTAAGTGGTTACCGGAGCCCAGACATTTACAACGTAAATGCCGCCACCGACCATGAAATATGAGTTCTAAGCTCTCAGTATAGTTACAACGGCTGCGCCACCCTTCAAATCGAGACGCCCAACTGCTTCACGGCAGAAATAAGCAGGGTGGTGGTGCCTACCCGTGCGGATTCACAAGAGGTCCTGCCACCAGTAAAAAAAAAAAAATGGCTCTCCCATAAGTTTCAAAAATGTCGCTTAAACAAATACTCTTTCACTCCTCGATATTATTTCTGACGTTTGGAATAATTTACAGTTTTCGTTATCGAGGACGCCGGCAGCGGTCAGTGACCACGAAAACTGTATAATTATAATTCTGAACGTAATTATAATAAAAAAGATGTGTGGTGTTGTGGGACATCGGATAGGAACGAAGTTCCTTATTATAAAAATATTAATTTTAAGTTCTATTCGAGGTATAAAGAAAATAAAACTGGAGGTTTCGCAACAACCCACGGTCATTCGGTAACGTGCGAACTTATTGTGGTACACTTCATTCACGGCTGTTTGCATAAGAGTTAGTGTACTGCGCAAACGAACGCTCTGAGATCGTGGTCAATGAATGATAAAAAAATATGTTATTTTCTGTACGTTATTACAAAGTTAAGTCGTACACTATGTGCATTACTAATTTGTATCTTATTACAAAGTTAAGTCGTACACTCTGTGCATTACTAATAAAAATCTTACGTTACGGACGTTTTTTCCCGGTTAGGGTACCCCTCCGCATCGTCCCATAAGGAACTTCGTTCCAAAAAGGCGATATAAAACCGTAAAATGATTTTAATCACACATGTCACATAATATGTATTATATACATGGTTACGACTCAACAAAATACTTTTAATTGCATATTTTGTTTATGGAAATATGAAAAGGTCTTCGTATCTATTTATAATATGCGAGTTATTATCATTTTGCGACTGTTTATATGCCAATAAAAAAAATCCACAACTTTACTGAGTGTCTGTGATAACCCCTATGTTAACGACGCAAGGTTGGCTAGATAATGAAATGTACTGTAGATATTTAACAACTGCTTATAGTGGGGGAGTAGTTGAGGCGGCAGAGTGGAGAGGGGATGGAGATAGAGGGAGAGAGAGGGAGAAAGAGCATACTTTATTATAAAAGAATCAACAAACAAGTATAATTGTAGAATATGGGGTCTTATCGCCGAAACAAGATCTCTTCCAGATAGCCGTTATTTTATCTCGAGAAATTCCGAGAAATTTGCAGCAGGTATATTGCGGTTTAATATTTATTATAAGCAAGAACAAAATAACAATTGATCAAACCTTTACGTACAATATTAAATAAGAACAAGATATACAATAAATATAATAATATACTTACAATATACATATAAAATTAAATTACCATATCACTTATACATCAATAGATACATAAACATACTAGCTGTACCCGTCCGCTTCGCTGGGCATTTAAAGTTAACATTATTATTTTTCACCCCCACAAAGATTCTCACCAAGATCTCATCATTAACGCCCCCGCAACCGGTGTAGGGAGTCCAATACTCATATAAATATTAGCCCATCCATTAAGTACATGTATTTTCTACATGGATACCAAGTTTCAAGTCAATCGAATGCATGGTTCAGTAGTTATAACGGAACATCCGTAAAAACCACTGTAAATTTATATATTAGTATAGACTAGAGGTCCCGTAGTAGTCGAAATTCGACTATAATTAATTGGAATTGTAAGTTTGTACACTATTATGATTATATTTTATACTTCTATAATCACAAATTTCGCCAAGATTACACTATAAAAAATATTAACAAAGACAAATAATATTTAATCTATTCTCAATTGACAACAGACGTCAAGAACAAAAGCTTGACAATAAATAGTATGCATGCGTGTGTGCATCAAATACATGGTACGTAGTGTGTGTAATGTTTTATTTATCGATTTAAAGTATCTTTTATACATTATTTTAAAAATATTAGCGTTGTGCACTTCTTCTCTATATTCTGTATAAGTGTGGAAAATTTCATACTCCTCCGTCCACGCAATTTTCGTAAAAAGGGATACAAAGTTTTTGCTTCACGTATTAATATATAGATATAGATTATTATAACAAGTCAACAGTTCGCCAATGGTAAAACACGAACAAGCAAACAACATTAACCAGATAAGCAATCCACCAACATTCTTTAAAGCAATTTAAACTCTCTTTCTATTAATATAAACCTATCTCTTTCAATTAATGAGTTAATCTAAATGCGAGAATAAGACACAAAAGCGTTGCATTCAGAAGTATCGGGACCTGTTGTTTCTATGTTATTATTTTCAAAAGGAAATAATCCAAAATTCCAAACCAACATATTCTCACTCTCTCTCTCTCTCTCTCTCGCTCTCTCACTCGGATTGTTAAACATTGTCAGATTGACAGATAAGCCTCAAAAACGTTCAGGTCTAGACTACAATCGTGCACAGATTATAAACATATACACACACATGTATCTATAAACTAAATTTGCTTGAATAAGTCAATGATGTCATTCGAGAATAAACCAAGGTCAAACAAACGTGTTCAATGAAAAATATTGGTATCGTAATAAAAGATTGTCTTTCGTTACAAGTCATGTCATGTGATCCATTATTAAAACATTATAACTCAAAGAAAAAATCGACCTCATGTCTCAAGGTGGGGGCGGCGAGGGGTGGGGGGGACATCTCGTGACGACAAAGGCTTTCGTCGACCACCTATGACCACGTAAGCTGTGGATTCTATCTATTTATGGCACGTGAATAAGTTAAAAGCATACGTAAATCCAATCAAACAGAGACGCAATAAACGCTACTACGCACACAAAATTAGTTTCGGTCGAATAAGACACAAAAAAACGGTGAGGCGTTAAATTATAACACTCGTACACTACATTATGCAAACTTTATAAGCATTTCAACAATTCTGGAACGATTTCGAAGCTAAACCAATGAATTAACTTACGTGTTGTAGGGTATCGGTTTGGTCATTTTGTCAAAATTTGGAATGTTTTGAATTCGCACAGACAGTTATAACGTTTGGCGTCGCGAATGGCTGCCGCGTTACTGGCTGATGCAAGGCAATTGGCGAATGCAAACTCGTGGTGCGCCGACGCCGGCGATCCCAATGACGTCATCGAGAGGAGTTATTTTGGACGGTCTGCTTTTTTTTGTATCATTTTCGAACGCAGACAATGATCATTTCTTTGATGGTGTTTACCATAGCTGATCCTTTGGGTTTTTTTTAGAGTAAAATGCGTTAAGGTAGGCATAACCACTGGTTGAATACCGTTTTAGATTCCGCGTAAAACACTTTCAATGACGATTTCTTTTTTTACCAAAACATCGACGCGTCTAAAATTGAAATCGATTAGCGCGCGAATTTTTGACGTGAAACCTCGACCGCTAATTCCACGCTATAGTCTATTAAACTATTAGTGTGAGTTATAGTGTGTTTCGAATTAAATTAGATTTAATAAAGCACAGTATTAAGAAAGAAAACTAACGTGCTTTAGGAGTCACGGGTCTTACTAAACGAGAAATACACCAGCATCATGAACAAAATGAACATGAACAAGGGTACGTTGAGATTTAAGTTCTAAGATCTCAAGTATAGTTACAGCGGCTGCCCCACACTTCAAACCGTAACGCATTACTGCTTCGCGGTAGAAATAGGCCGGGTGGTGGTACCTACCCACGCTAACTCACAAGAGGTCCTCCCACCGGTAATTACACAAATTAAAATTTGCGGGTTTGATTTTTATTACATTACGTAAGTCGGTTCCATTACCCTCTACTGCTGTACCTTGTCCTTTCTTACCAAACAGCAGCCGTGTTTCCTACCCTAGATTCTTAGCAAGTGTCGGTCGTGAACTTATATACACCAAACGCGGTTAACAACTTGAAACCTCTTATAATTCAGTTCATTACGCTTGAGTTATCAAGGTACCCAATTGAAAAATGATACATAGATGTAAATGCAGACTTAGGTCTTTTTCCTCTTCATCAACCATGAGTACACATTATGTCCTGGATAATCGATATTTGTGTGTCAAAATAAAAAAATCCCAAAGAATTTGAATACCGCTGTAAAATTTTGTATTTAATTTGCTCAATAAAACAATACTTCAAATAGTAACCCAGTAGAAAAATTGTCGATAGAAAACATTTCGACGTGTCGAATGACACACAATAACACCCCGTCAGTATCTAATAACGCAATTTGGTGTAATCTAAAACCACCCCTGTGCCGCCTCCACTGTCGCCTGCTATTCCTATAGTTAAGCGAGTTTGATACATTACTAGGATTACCGAATTGAAAATCCTTACTAACTAATATTACCAATACTCTTCGCATTCAGTTTCTAGCGTGTCGTTACGAGTGACCGGCCGGATTATCCCAAAACCATATGTTCCAGGTGGTCAGACCACAACAACTGATGTTAGGTGATCATGATAGCCCCATTAACAGACTTCGGATGCCACATCACAATGAAAGTTCAAGTCGAAATATGTTATTGGGTTTGCTGCTATTAAAGCCGAAACTCATGACTAATGCGCGACAGGAACACTCCGAGCTACGTTACCTACCCGAATCGAGTTTCGCCATTTCATAAGATTCCTAATTCCATGAATAATCATTTTCATATTGAAGTACAAGAAACAGGAGATAAGTAATTGTCAGGAGAAATTTACGAGTCAAACGCACAAAATTATTGTTGTTATTAAAATTATTAATGGCTGGTTCGTCTCTATTTGCCACATGGACAGTGCAAGTGTTTTCGAAGCTAGTATATTTTTTATTGTGTAACTACGCAAACGAACTCCGGCCCAACTGCTTATAAAACGGCTAATGTAGTCCATAGACATCATAACTTTATTGGCGTTATCTATCTTGAGACAAAATGGCGTAGTATGGTACCAAGACTGTCCTACCCATAAAATTAGAAAGCATGATCGCTTCACAACAGAAATAGACAGGATTGTGTTATCTGCCAGTAAATACCAGCTGCCAATCATGGTCCAATACGCAGAAAATGCTGCTGCCCATTGTCGGTAGCAGAGTGTCGATTGCCTAAAAGGCCTTGTGGGTTTTAGTGACGAAGTCTTGTGTGAAAGATTTATTTATCCCGAGCCCCAGCGCGTTTTTTTTATTGCTTAAATGAGTGGACGAGCTCACAGTCCACCTGGTTTTAAGTGGTTATTGGAGCCCATAGACATCTACAACCTAAATGCGCCACCCATCTTGAGATATAAGTTCTAAGGTCTCAGTATAGTTACAACTGTACAGTAACACTATGTTGGGTGGACGACTTAACGGCCCGCCCAGTGCTTTAAATATACCGAAACCCGTAGACATCAAAAACGTAAAAGCCGCAACCCATCACGACACATGAGTTCTAAATCTCAGTTTTATCGTACAACGACTACCTCACCCTTCAGACCAAAACGTGCTTCATGGCACTAATAGGAATGATGATGGTACCTACCAGTATGGACTCACAAGACGTCCTACCACCAGTAGAAATTGTTCGGATTTCATTCAAACCTCGTGTGAAAACCTTTCATACTGCTCAGGAGATACATATTAATTATATTTGTTGCTAGAGAAAAGGACAGACCAACTTAATATTCTTGTTATTGATAAAATTTCTTTGTACTTGTTATCTTTGAAATTTAAATGGGTAAATAAATAGCAGCATGCTTTATCAAGATGCCTCTGAGAACTGTCTTTGTTTATTTTCATTGAAAATCACACGTAATTTTTTATTGCCTTTGTAAGCAGACGAGCATACGGCCCACTTGAGTGGTTTCCGTTGCTCATGGACTTCAGCAATGCCAGGGGCAGAGTCAAGCCGATGCCAACCGTTAAGTACTCTCCACAAGTCTAGTTTGAAGATATTTCATAGCGCTCGGGAAACCCCGTGGAGGGGAGCTCATTCCAAAGCCGAATGGGACGTGGCAAAAAATATCTCTGGAAACGCACTGTGGATGAACGCAGTGGTTTTAAGTAGTATGGATGAACTCTATTCCGGTGGCCGACGGTACGATGATAAAAACGAGATGACGGTATCATCTCAAACAATTCCTCAGAGCACTCCCCATGGAACATTCGGTACAAAATACAGAGCAAGCCGAAGTCCCTTCACAGACCCAAAGGTTCCAGTATCGACTCGACACTGAGATAAGACGCGTGCTATAATGTTATTGAGCGATGTAACTATCCTTAGGTACAGATCCCACCGCACAAATGGGTATCGAGTCATAACGGACGATGGTCCAGTTCTGTAAGTGCACCATCTTTCAGAATCCGGTAGCGGGGCGCTCTTCTCTTTCCATGTCAACTCCTCCCCATTGATCACAGCCACAGGAGATAAGAATCTCGCCCGAATTCCGACTCTCAATAGTTTCTAGGGTACTTTCCATATGCCAGTTTAGCATTGGAAGACCGGCGTGGGAGACCAAAGTAGATGATGTGTATGCTGCGGTTGACGCTTCTGATGAATGAACCACAGAGTGGCTGATCACCGCATCCCTAATTCACACTAGGTCTAACTCATCGAGGTCTCCCGTGGAGCCAAATCAGCGCTCTATCGCACTACACTGGGCTTATAAATATTATTGAAATGCTAATGAGGAATCCTACAGCCGGAGGGAACAAAGTTTTGGAGATCGTTAAGAGTCTCGAGAGTTTTTATTCTCTGATTCAGAATTTGTTTTATTATTTCGCAATATCTGCGTTTTACTTCGTTCAACCTTCAAATCTCGCCTGAGTTCCACCTATGTACCTACCACACATACGTACTGCCTCTCACTTAACATTTTAATTCTAATTTAATTTAATTGGTTTTTAATAATCTGAACAATACTAAAGCACTTCATTCTGTAGATAATGAAATGAGAAATAGGTTGCACTCATTAACCCATACGACTTGATTTGGGACCGGATAAAAACATCCAATGCTCTGGAATAGGCACCGGTGGGCTGCAGGTTTTAAGTATCACGTCCTTGATAGCAATAATAATAACATGTTCTTAAACGTAAGATTCCTAGCTCCTAGTCTATTTTTACTTTGAGGCGATCTTTAAAATACACAGAACACGAATATCTTGTCCTCTTGTCAAAGGGATGCAACGCTTCGAATGGTTTTAAATGAAATAGTATATGCAACTGATATATTTATTTATTTTATATATTTATAACTTTATATACTAGACAGTATAAAGGCGGACTTAATGCCATAAGCATTCTCTGACAGTCTACCTTAGGGGGTGCAGAGATGAACCTTGGTAGGTGTAGTGTGATAGTGATATTACTTAAACATATCTTATTAAACATATTATTATATAACATACATAATATTTATAGATACAGATACTCGTACTTAAATAAATACTATATATCTACATATTTGATTCATTACTAATAAGAATAATGACTTATACCGGCTATTTGATGTTTAGACTGTTACCGGGGCACATCAAAACAAAATCGTGCATGATTTTACCAAATTAGCGACATTGAGATTTTGATGAGATTTTGAAATTTCTTTGTCATTATGAAGACTTACAGCTAGGTACGTATTTACCATATGGCCAAAAGGGACAAGGTCTGAAGTACCACCTACCTTTAAATTTTTTATGTCTCTTTTGTGAGGCCTTTTTAGTGTTTTCATTCATTATCATTATTCTCAGCCCACAACAAAACACTGCGGGATTTTATTTTGTATTAATTAAAGTTTTAATTAACACAAAATAAAATAAATTAAAATCTAATAGAAATAAAAGCTTGTTTATTTTTTTTTTTTTTTTTTTTTTATTGCTTTGATGTGTGGACGAGCTCACAGCCCACCTGGTGTTAAGTGGTTACTGGAGCCCATAGACATCTACAACGTAAATGCGCCACAAACCTTGAGATATAGCTCTAAGGTCTCAGTATAGTCACAACGGCTGCCCCACCCTTCAAACCGAAACGCATTACTGCTTCACGGCAGAAATAGGCGTAGGAAATAATTAAAGTTTTATGCATTTTATGATTCATCTACAGAGCCCCAAACCTTATAGGCTCAGAGCGCCTGAATCTTAAAAACGCTACT